ATGCAGCAGAAGGCAAGTGGGCCACGGCCACTCTCGCTACGATCGCCCCCCTCGGGGCCCACACGGCGCCGGGCTCTGTGGGTCCTTGGCAGCCTGGATTTGGACCCCCCCACCACCCCCCTCCCCTCCACCGATCACGGTCACCCCCACTCCATCCCACTTTCAGGGCCAATGTTTTACTTATTTACTTACCATGTTCTACTTTTTCATCCACGAGAGCCACATGGAGGCACGAGGTTCTTTTTCATGACCCTGCCTGCTGCATTGGGTTTTTATTTGTAAGATGTGTTCAGCCGATTAACGATGATGAGTTGCGTTTTTTATTCAAGTGGAAAGAGGAAACCCGAGCACCTGGAGGAGAAAAGCCACGCCTTGTGCGAGAGGGCAGCAACGGCTTTATCCCCGTACAGATGGAAACAGATGGAGATTAGTCCACACTTTGCTTTACCGCCTTTTCCTGGGCGAGCCAGGGTACGGCTCTTCAACGCCCACCCACGGGAAGGGAGTTTCGCAACACCTTGTGCGGTGGTTCACCGACCCTCGCTGCTGCCTCCACAGTGCTGGGTTACAGGCAGCCACGCGCAGCGTAGCCAGCACGAGTGAGTCGAGAGACGCAGCCTCCACACAGGGAGGCCTTAATCCAGCTGTCGACTTACACAGCGCTACACGTTGTCGTCGTTGCTGTGATTCTCATCGCCTTGGCGATTATCCTGGATGGCGCACGGTGAGGCGTGTTTGATGGAGATGTCCTCTATCACGCCGGGAGTGGCGTCCCAGGGACGCTCTGCATCTCCCAGTGGCAGCTGTCCCTGTGCGGTACAAGGTTACTCGGCACCGCATGTGCGAGCGGGCGTTAATTATAAGCACATTTATTTGACCAGCACCAGTTTAATGTCACGAAGCCAAAGCCTGTCGTGATGCCCGAGTGTAGAGCATTGTCAGTAGAGGCGATGATAGCTGCTGATGCTGCTGCTGCCGCTGCTGCTGCTGCATAATCCTATTTGAGTGATTCGCGGTGTACTTAATCGAATTTGGCAAAGTTGGACCGTGAGGCTGGCACACAACAGCAGACTCGTTTTGAATGATGTCACGGGATCTTTACCATCCGCTGTCAAGCATACGGTCACATGGTGTTTTAAGGTTAATACCACAACCGTGGGTAATAACCAGGGAGACCTCTCAGGTTCGAACCGCGAATCCGCGCAAAGGGCGGCGGTGGCGCTGCCGCCGCTTGGCCCAGATTTGGCGCCAATTGAGAGGCGACGGTGTGTTCCTGTGTCCGCGCGTGCAGCTCAAATGCTGCGGCGCTTCAAACTACACGGAGTGGCTGAATTACAACGTCTGGAATCAAGATCCGGTTAACCATGGCAACACTCCGGACTCCTGCTGCGTAAACGTAACAACTGGCTGTGGCAAGGGCGAGGCAGCCAAACCGGATAAAATCTACACAGACGTAAGTAGACACGGGGTGGCGTGAGGAGACACGGGGTGGAGTGAGGAAACTGGGTGCTGTTGTGGAGACACGGGGTGCGGTGACGAGACATGGAGTGCGGTTGTCTTCCCCAGGCCTGTGTGCCGAAGCTCGAGACTGAGCTGAAGAAAAGCCTCGTGTGGATCGGAGCCGTCGTTCTTGGCATCGGTCTGGCCCAGGTAAGAGGGCCACCCCACACACGCTGACCCCCCCACACGCTGACCCCCACACGCTGTCCTCTATGCGGTAGTCAGTCAGGAGGCTCTAAGGTAGAAATTAACACTTTTTTTGTTTTACTTTTAGCTAGAGGCTAAAATTCAGACTAATGGTTGCACAGAAATGCAGAAAAAACAGTGAGGCTCATGGGTAGTGGGCGGGGGAAGTGAGGTGGCAGGGGCGGGGCCATAGCACCCACCCCAAAACTCCCTGCATCACATTTCGTGACCGAAGGGTGAATTTCTACACATTACAAGAGACGAGGGGCAGTCTTGAGTCACCGTGACGACCTGGCGACTCACCGTGGCCACATCCACCCCCGCCTCACTGGCCGTGTTTGTGTGCACTGCCATTCTTGCGTTGCAGATAATCGGTGTCATCTTGGCCTGCTGCCTCATGAAGGGGATCAAGGACACGTACGAGACCTTCTAGCCCACACGCCGCCACGGCCCCCGACGCCTGTCGCCCACCCCCCTACCCTCCCCCTGTCCTCATGTCCGAAACACGATACCAAATCCCACACTATCAACCTCCTTCACTATTAGTCCCTCTGGAGTTTGCCACCCTCCTACCCTGCTTCCCCTGAGAGAGCAGTGCAAGCGTTGCACTCCGCTCTGCGTTTGAGTCGTCTGTGAACACCCCCCCCCCCCTGCAGGGCCAGCGTTACTTATCCCATGGGTCCCCCGTGGCCACAGCTCAATTCGGTTCTGCCAGAGGTGGCACATCTTGCTTGTTGCGATCGCTGCGTTGTTGTTTGCTTCTGCTGCTGTGTACGGCTTCGTGAATAGCAACTTAATACCGCTCACTGTGAATGTCCAATAATAATAGCGACGGATTGTGCGTTAACTTGCTTGTCAAACAGCGTGAGTGCATACTGTGCTTTATTGACGGTGTAGAGATGTTGGCACAGCTCAAGGGTTGCTATCTCAAGGTGCGACCGTGGCCGCGGGTTGAGGGAGCAGGGAGGAGACATCACGGGGATATCAGACGGAGGCGGGGAGGATTGTGAGAGAGCTGGCAGGGGTTTTGTGAGAGCGACCGGGCCATGGCCTCGCACTGTAAACACCAGCAGTGAGAAGCGAGCGAGATGTTCCATCGGTGTCATCGGGATTGGAGATTCGGATCAGGCTCGGCTGTGCATTTTATGGCTTGGACCAATTTGGTTCGGGTTGGGTAGGGCCCCCCCCCCCCCCGATTCGCTGATGCCATCATAGAAACGGCTCTAGAGTTCGTGTCTCATTGGCTAGTACGCTTTCTCCCTGATCCCCCTAACCCCGCCCCTAACAGATTGCACTTACCCCTCCTGTTGCCAGGTGTGGCCGTACACAATTGCTTTTCGCTGCACGCATATTCACAGCCCCTCCATAGTGATGGCCAACCATGGCCCTCTCCTGGCCACGGCAGATCTAAACCCACAAACTCTACAGCTCCCTCCCCATCTTCCTTCCAGCTGCTTCCCCACCTCTCTACCCCCTTATACGACTTAACAAAACATTCCAGCCTGTATAAGTAGACAAAATAACATAACCTCTTGGTTTAGTAATATTTTCTCGTATAATTTAAATGTAATTGTACTTTCTATGCTTGCGTAGACTCTAGTGTCATTGCTTAAAACTATAGTAAGAGCTATATCTGTAAAGTCCCACGGGAAAATCCACATCTTGATGACAGTGGTGGCACGTGGCGATCTCTACGAAGGTCGAACGTCTGCCAACGTGCGCATTGGATCTCGCATCTTCGTGTCGCGCGTGCCACTGTCCGAGACGGTGAGAGCGAGAGGAATAAATCTGCGGACCCATTGAGATCTGTTATTCAACAACTTAACCCTCAAAGATTTATACTAGCAGAGCAGTACTGCACCGACTACCCAAAGATGGTCATGCACGTGGGCCACCCATTTTTCAGTAGCCATGTGGACTCGCGGTGGCGATTGTCACCGAGCATCGCCGCGGTTTGACAGACTCCCAACAAAGTCGTGAGTTCACATCCCGTTTGCGGGGGTCGACTCAGCCACACAGACCACCCCCACCTGTGTGCATAACCCCCATCACTCCCCTAAAATAAAACCGACTTTCAGAGTCGAGATTCGATTCCGGAATTCCCTTCTGCCACTGGTTGGGCCTGCATATCGACTGAATCGTAGCTGCAGTGTTTATGCGAATCCAACCTGGTGTCATGCAGTTGTTCGGTGCGTGACGCGAGCGGAAGATTGGGACTCCGTTGAGAGGCACTCGCTCTTACGACCTTAAGAGTGCCGCTGCTGTCGAGCTAACGCAGGCACCCGCCTCCACGCGGTGCCGAAGCCCGAGGTGTGCGGAGCACGGCGGTGCAAACTCAAACCTGGCCGGCCGTCTCCAGTGTGCATCCCTCCGTTTGATAAATCAATAATAAAGGCATGGTCTATTCGGGGTTGACAGCCGTCCGAGCCTCCTTGTGTACGAGTCTGTGGAGCCTTCCCCCAGGAACTTCGGTCTCCTCCCATACAAAACAAACTGAAGGAGCTGAAATGACCTCAAGGATGCATCAAGCCTGGCATATGCGCTACAGTGACACTGACGCTTCGTGGAAAATGCCAACTGAAGGAATCCATGTCACCTAAAGGTTTTTGGTGGGCTGGGGAAAAATGCCAAACGAGGCCCACTCAGCCCTCTGCCCCACCTAAACTGCCCCCAACCCTTCTCAACCTCTGTACAGCAAAGTGTTGTGGGTTTAGTTGCACAAGCCACAGAGAGTAGTGTTTGTATGGTATGTGCCATGTGGTGATGTTTTGCAGTATAATAGCAATGCTTTACATGGCGAGTGCCGTCAAATTTGTAAAGCGTGCAGATTTTCAAAGTCAACAGTTAACCAAGCTTTGATCCTATATTTGGATGTGTGGTCCAAGTAGTTTTGTAGGTGCAGCTATGTAAATAAAGCAGGTACCCAGAAGGTGCTTTGCCTTCAACTCTCCAGAAAGAGTATCGAGGAGATTGCAGAGCTTGGTCCAGCTCTTGCTGGGAAATCTCCATGAATCTGTCACCTGCTATACAGGCGTACGTGGGTTAGATCCTGGACCCTGGTGATGCCTGTTGTATATTTGGAGCCCTACGTGTTTGCTCTCTCCCCATGGTGGTCATGTGGTTTTGTCCTCTGTTTAGAAACATCCATTTACATTGTTTGGCAGCAACTATAAATGATGCCCACATGCGATGGATCAGATGATGTCGAGTTCTGGACTGGTGGCAATATTGCTTCTAAGGCAGTCCCGATGCACAATGGTGGTGCGTGCGAGTGATTTTTGTACCATAGCCCTCGAGATTTGTCTGGGGCGTGCACTGTGTGCCCCAACGTGATTCAAGTTACCGAGTCAGATGCAGGTTAAGGAAATAGTTTTAGTATTTTTTTAGACAATAAAAACGCCAAGTCTGGTAATGATCATTTCACTTTTGATCAAGGTGCCAATATAAATTTTGATCAAACTTGGCGTTTATTTAAAAACAAACCCAACATTCATTACCAATATACAAAATGTGTACATTAATTACATCTACACACTGCATTGAGCACTCGCGCACAAACCCCGTTCCCTTTCAGGGGGACCGGTGTTCACTCACGGCCGGAGGCGCGACGTGAGTGCATGCTGGAGCCGCGCTATGCTGGCATCAAGCGAGGCCAGGCCGTGGCGGAACGCGTGGTCGTCGCGCGACGTGAATGTCGACGTCGACGCTAGCGACCCAGAGCCCACCGATGAGAAGCTCCAGTCAGGCAGAGGCCGCAGTGGCAGCAGCACTGGAGGGGGGCGGCACGCATCACTCCCCGCGTCGCTCCCCACGTCGACCTCCTCGCCCCCCGCCTCAGCCCAGCGTTTCGCCGACCCTCCCGGGGGGCCCCAGCCGCCACCGCCCGCCTTCGCTAGGGGGGACGCGATCTCCGAGCCGGGGTAGCTTCCCGCGGCCGAGGGCCACTTGGCTGCCGGGGGAGCAGGAAGCAAGGGAGGAGGGTAGGGCGGGGGCTCGCTGCCCATGGGCCGGGCGGGTGCGGGGTCGAGGTAGTCTGTGTCGTCGTGGGTGGTGGACAGCGGCGTGCTCGAGCGGTCCAGATGCGTGGCGACGACGCCCGAGGCCGCAGCGCCCGCGGCTGCGGCGGTCGTGACGGAGGTTGATGAGCTAGCGGCCGCTCTCAGAGCTTCTCCCGAGGGCTGATCGAGTGTAATCTGACCCCCGTGACCCTGGCCCCGGTCACCGTAACCCCTACTGGTCTCCACCGTGACACCTTGACCCGTGCCATCGTTACCCCCAGCACCGTGAGCTGCACTGCCCATGACGTCCCAGTGGCCCTGACCCCCCCCACCACCACCGCCGTGACTTGCGCCACCCATGCCCCTCTCCCAGTGCCGTGCAGAGCCGGGAGCCCGGTGCTGGAGCGGGCCCTGCGGTGCGGGTGTGGGGCGGGCGAGGGGCGGTGCCACGCTGGGGGGCGAGCAGGAGCCCGGCCGCACGTCACTGCTCAGCTCCGACAGCAGCCGCGTCATGCTGCCCTGCAGGGTCCTGCTCCGCAAACAAAGACAAAGATCCCCCATTGAGCTTTACCAGACTGTTGGGGCAAGTGCTGTAATGATGGTCAGCATGGCACACAAGGGGGTCGGTGTCGCCAGGACCACGCCTGACCACCTTTGTCTCCCCTGTGGCGATGTTTGTACACTGCACCAGGTACTCGTTTGACGCAGAGTTAACCTAGGGGACCGGTCAGATAATCGTCACTGATGTTAGCTGTGAGCATGAATCAATCTCAGGTCGCCTGGTTCAAAGCGCAGCATGCTAACCACTGCGCCACCACTCCCCACAGGCAGATGCACACATCGGAGTGTGTGTATCTGTATGTGGATGCGTGCCTGTCCATGTATCCACGTGCGGTCCATGTGTGTGCTGCGTCCCTGCATGTTTGTGAATGTCCCGTGTGTGGCCGTATGTCCATACACGTGTGTTCTTGTGTCCTTGTGCATGTCTTTATGGACCTATCTCTGTATCTGTGTACGTGCGTTTCCTTATTTCCCTGCGAGAACGTCACTGTGTGTGTCGCTGTGCGCATGCGAGTAGTGGACGTGTGTCCCGTGGGTCTGCATGTGCGTACGCTGAGAGTTGGCGCAACGAGTGCAGCTCCTGCTCCCTCTGCACCAGCGCCGCGCGGAGCCCCTCGGCCTCATCACGCGACGCCTGCAGCTGCTCCCGCACGGAGCGCAGGCAGCACAGCGCCTCGTCCACCTCTACCGGGAGGCAGTGGGGGGGGAAGGGAGAGAGCACACGGGGGGGTCACGGGGAGACGTGGGGGGGGACACACGGGGAGACACGGGAAGATGTGGGAAGACACGGACAGGGACACAGGGGTGATGCAAGGGAGACATGGAGAGACACGACCCAGGGCACGGGGCCTGCGTGTGCAGCTGCCACACAGGGTGGCACTCAGCTATGCTGTCGCCAAACACCCGAACGGCGGGGCCTGAGATTCGCCACTCGCGACAGTGGCCCTAACGATGACAATCACTGCTTTTGATTGAGCGCCTTTTTGTGCTGGGGCGTCTTAAGAGCAGCTGTCCGAGTACGCCACAAGGTGACTCCACACCTGGCCTGCAAACAGGTATCAGTCTGCCGATAGGGGGCAATGGTCGCTGCTGTGTGTGTGATCTCAATGGCGTCATTTACGGTCTCATTTTAGAATTTGGCAAGAAGAATTTAGCCCATGACGCCGGCAACAAAATTGCCTATTCTTGCGAATGACGTCAGGATATCTTTAACTTATGATCAACACACCTACAGTGATAAGCAGGGTGGGCCAGCCAAATTCCAACCGCGAACCTCTGCAACAAGCGTGGGACACGCCATCGCTGGGCTGCATTACCGTGTCGTTAAACGTGGCCAAAATCGCGCAGTGGATAAAATAAGGCACGTGGCCCTCCAGGCCACGGGCCCGGGAGGAGATCGATAGCAAAGCCCTCGCGTGGTCTCAATCAGCGTGACCTGAACACCAATTCAGTGCTCGCACAGCGGCGAGACACCTCTGCGCGTTCCACATGTGGATAGCGCGATTCTGCTTTCCTTAAATGACTATTTGCAGCTACGTTTACTACGCGAGGAGAGCCGATCGTGTTACGGTCGCGTCGTAAACATTCACGACAGCATGGGTGGCAGTGCAGTGGTGACACTCGTGCCTCGCCGCAAGAAGTTGCTGAGTTCCATTGCCAACTTGGGCACCATTCTGCGTGGCGTTTGTATGTTCTCCCTCTGTTCTGAATGGGTTTCCTCTGGGTACTCCGGTTTACTTCCACAGCTAAACCCACATGCAGTGTAACCGGTATCGTCCAAAACATCCCCAATGCTGCCAAAATTCCCCGCAAATCACTCAATTGGGATCACACAATCAGAAGCAACATTGGCCACTATTGCGAGAAACAGGACCCTCCTGAAGAAGAGCGAGGCTTCCCTGGACGAACAAGCGGAGTCACGACCACTAGGGACGAGCCGCTCGTGTAGTGGGATTCACGCCAACACGACGCACCCTCACGCACGCGCGCTGCCTCCTCTTCCCAGTGCGCCGTCCCCAGGCTCTCGGGTCCTCTCGCCTCCGTGCCCCCCACGCCCTCCCTGCCGTCGGGTCCCGGCCCCCCCCATATTCGGCCGAGCTGGCGGGAGAGCTGGTCGTGGCGCCCCCGCTCGGCCTGCGTCTCCGCGCGACTCCGGCTCAGCTGCTCCTGCAGCGCCGCGTTCGCAGCGCGCAGGTGCGCCACTGAAGAGACACGCGAGGGAGACGCGTGGGACGCGAGGGAGACACGCGAGACGCGAGGGAGACACGCGAGACGCGAGGGAGACACGTGAGACGCGAGGGAGACACGTGAGACGCGAGGGAGACACGTGAGACGCGAGGGAGACACGTGAGACGCGAGGGAGACACGTGAGACGCGAGGGAGACACGTGAGACGCGAGGGAGACACGTGAGACGCGAGGGAGACACGTGAGACACAAAGGAGACATGTGGGACGCGAGTAGGACACGTGGGACGCGAGGGAGACACGCGGGAGATGAGGGAGATACGAGAGAGATGAGAGACACAATATGAGGTAGCACAATGGAAGGGACATGAGAGATACAGCTTGAGATGTGAGGACGGAGGCACGACACGCATCTCACCCCACGTATTGCCAGTCGTGCGACTGGCAGCGCAATGTCATGAGATGCAGAGGCGTTCATTTAGAACTCTTGTGGTGAGCTGCGACTTGTGAGGTCACTCATTCTCAGCACTAGCGGCACACCGTCTCACACTCTCCGTAAAGAGCATTTGTTCGCAAGCCGGTGGCAGTGGTGGCTACTATGCTGTGCCATGCACTTGTAGTCCATCGTTATGGAGGCAACAGCAAGGGTTGGTGGATCACACAGACGTTGTGAAACTCCCTTGCCGCGGATGGCACCGAGCAATTTGTTGAAATGATCCAATATTAAAACGACAAGCTAAATTTAACGTGATAGTTTCTGTACAGTCATTGGTGACGGCGCGAAGACCGACAGCTCAGTAGACCCGAGAAGCTGGTGATGATCTCAGCCCGGTCACCACTGGGTGCACAAAAACAACCACTTAATTTAGCCGAATTACAGTGTTGGTTTGAGACTGTTCTGTGACAGACATTATTCCGAGTAACAGGGCAGGTAGGAAAGACCTGCTCCTAATGTGTGGATCAGAAGCCACTTGAAGCAGGGATCTCAGAGGTGGCTCTGCGATATCCGTGGGCCGTGCTCTAACAGTGAGGGGTTGCGCTGCTCTGCAAAAGACCCGTGTGGTTACACCGTCCGTGACGTCGCACCGCCGCCGAACGCACGATTGCGTCAAGCCGGGTGATTTCGCGCCGTGTTTGTAGGGCAGGGGGCACCACTTACACTCGGCGTTCGAGCCAGGGTCCGGCCGCTCCCTCTCCCTCAGTTGCTGCGACAGCGTCTGCACGCGCCTACGCACGACACACGCAGTGTACGGAGCGTGCTACGTGGTTTCAAGAGACACGGCACAAATTCTACACCAGCTGCGCACATGGAATCGCGTCGTCACGAGAACGTAGGCAGACGCGCACTTAGAACTCCGACGTCGCACGGCCTCGACCATGACACCCGGGTGTACGGCCCGCGTAGACTCGGCAATCGGGTCTCTCCCTGTACACGGGAGGGGCCACAACTCTCAGATGCCCTGCCAAGGGTGTTTGCTGCAAGCTCACCCTTTGGAGCCCGAACGTGCAGAGCGAGCAACGACCCAAACGTAACACAATGGTTGTGCAGTCATTGGAGACCGAGCTGAGAGGATCTGTGGTGAGCGGTATAGCGTGGTGGTAAGTGGTGGATAGTGTGACGCGGTGGTGAGCGATGGTGAGCTGTGGGTACTGGCGAAGTGCTGTGGTGAGCGGTGGTGAGCGGGGGTGAGCGGTGGCGAATGGTGGCGGCGAGCGGCGGTGAACGGTAGATACCGGTGGAGCACCGAGTTCTCGCTTCGCATGAGCGCCAGGGTGCGTGACGGTGACCCCGGCGACCCCGTGGGCTGCGGGAGCATTGCCTCCGCCTGCTGGTCGGGCTCCGGCAGGGCTGTCGCCAGCAGCACCACGCTGTGCTCCAGCTCTGCCAGCAGGTGCACGCACGCGCGCACGTCCTGCCGCGCAAGCAGCTCGCGCAGCTGCGCCAGGCCACGCGTCACCGCTCCCGCTCTCCTCGCCGCCTCCCCGTGCCCCCCACCAGCCTGCGTGCCCCCCGCCACCGCCTGGTCCGAGCCCACGTCATCGCGGTCGTTGTCCAGGCCATCCCGCTCGGCTCTCCCGTCGGCGCCAAGCGCCGTCACGGGGCCACGGTGGCCCCACGCCGCTTGCTCCAGGAACCTGCGTGGAGGAGACGGAGCGGAAGCGTATGGGGTCACGGGGCACTCAATGAGCATCACGGGATGGAACAACGTGTACTCACACACTCTGTAGAGCAGGGGGAGAATATACCAACTCTACATAGGAGTTGGAAGGCTAAAGCCTACGTGTTAAACTCCACACAGGAAGGGGCCCGAGTTGGGAATCAAACTTAGGCCCTTATTGCCGTTAGGCACAAGTGTCACCACTGTGCCGTCACCCGACGTGGTTGCCTTGGCAGTGGCCTCACCTGTCCTGGGGCACGTCCTCTTCCCCACTGGCGTCCGTCGTCATTCGGGCCTCCCACTCGGGCTGCAAGGCCATGAAGCGCGCATGGGCCCCGTCAGCCCGCGCCAAGTCAGCCCAGCGGCCCCCGGCCCAGGGCGCGCCACCCTCGGACGTCGGCGGGAGGAGAGAAGGGGCCATGCAGCGCGGTGCCGTGGCCGGCGTCGTCACGGCAACTGGAGAGGTCGCCGCGGTCACCGTGGCGGTCGCCGTGGAGACGGGGACGTAGGCGGAGTACGCGCGCTCGCTGCTCGCGATCGCCTGCTCGCACGGGGAGCAGAGGCGGTGCGCAAAACCGCGGCTTTTTGTTGCCATTTCTAAATCAGTGGCAGAGCACAGAACCCAAGGCCCAAAAGGCCAAGTGGCCAGCAACCAACAACACTACTGAAGGTGCAATAGAACCCCAGATCTCCTTTGCAAAATAAGCTTATCTCACGAAGCTCTGGGATCAAGGCAATATATGCGATTATTCCTGGCCTCGTATGTCATGTGGCATCTTCACCTGGCCTGGGCTTAATTTAAATCAACTCGCCCTATTATTTTTTAATCACAGTTCTTGAGCAGAGACACAATGCCCCAAACGTCCAAGTGTCCAGCAACAAACTACACTATGAACGTGTTATAGGTAAAAGTGTAATACGTTTCTTGAAATGAGCGAGGTTATTATTGCTAACAACTTGTAGAAAAGAGATAACAGATGGAGCTGTGCGAGGGAAGAGACTGTAAGTCTGGTGCTCAGGAGGTGGGGGCCGATGGTGGGCGCATGCGTGTGTGCGTATCCATTTGTGCTTGCCTGAGTACGTGCATGTCCAAGCGTGTAACCACGTATGAGTGTATCTGTCCATGTGAGGACATCAATGTGCATTAGCCTGTGTGCATGTACGTTCGTGTGTGCGTGCGCCTGTGTGCGGGGGAAAGGGGGTGCGCGGTGGGAAGTTAAATTCCCGCTCATGGCCAACATGAGTGGGGAATATTTAAATCAGTCCTGGTCTTCTCCTAAGTCGATTACGGCCTTAAATGACTAACTGGCGTAGCGTGCAAACATGCTCACTCGGGGACTGCTGTTGTACGAGTGCCCTGGCGTGGCAAGCGGCGTTGTGGGCTTGGTGGCGGGTGGCGGGGCGGGTGGCGGGGCACGTGGCGGCGAGGCGAGCGTGGGCGTGGAGGAGGCGAGACGTCCATTAAACGCCGTGCTCCCACCAGCCGCCACTGAGAAGCGAAGCGGGCACAAACCACGCGGTGGCGTTAACGGCGTATACATATTTACTTGCAGTTGGTTACATGCCTAGACCTGACATGCAGCTGCATTTACATTCTATAATTTGAATTTGTAACATGCGCAGTTTCTGTTCTATCTCGAGGAGAAAATTATTGAAAGGCGCGGGAAAGCTAACCCACTTGTTGTACTGCCATCACACCATGGGAATAAGCCAGGAGATGGAGACCTTGACGCCCACGGGTTAGGGAGGGAGCTTCACAAATTGAGTGATCCACCATCCCTCTCTGCCTCCAGTGCTCAATTACAGGCTTGCACCGCGAGCCGTGATCTATCCACTGCTAGCTCAAGGCCTACCCAAGCCGTCACAATCCCTCAGTCCTACAAGGCAACGTTCCCTCGAGTGCGCTCCCTCCCTCAGCTGCCTCTCCATCACGAATCTCGTCATTCTGCAACCACCCCTTCTAAACCAAATGTTTTCATTTTCCTTGAATTATGAAGTTTCCTTTGCACTTGGACGATGGTTGCTTCATAAATACATGAATATTTCATTGATCTGAATGTCACAGGGTTAATGAACAGTCCCAAATCTGGTACAAACAAGCAATATATGTGTGGGCATATAAAAAATATAATTTTGCACGATTTTCCAATATTATAATCATTGTCCACTTCGTAGCTGGAGAATCAATCAGGTCGAATTGGTTCTGCATACAGAAACAGCAAATCATAGTCTCCACAGGTGCAAATGATTGAATCTCACAGGTGATGGGTCAAATCAACCAATGGGCTGGAAGCAGTGATTAGCCCAAGTCTGCCCAGTTAGGAGGATGCACTGCGAGAGAGGTTGCAGCAACTGGAGCACGACAGCACGATGGACCAGGAGGACATCAGGTGGTCAGCCAGGGACAAGAACTATAAAAGATGAGGGTGTCTATGGGTAGAAGGAGAGTCGAATAGGGTTACCCCTCTGTGTTCAGGGAGTCTGGTGGGGGGAGCCAACTGAGGAGCAGAGGTGAGCGAGTACGGGAGTGGTTGGGCGTGGCCCAGAGTCCCCAAGTGCCTGCTTTGTATCTAATGTTGAACTTCTTTCACGTGTAATCTCGGAATTCTGTTCCCACCATTGCACCGCAATCATGGTAAATACCCGAAGACGTCTTGGTTTAAAATTTGATACACAAATGGGGGGCAAGGGTCCCGAGGACCCCCACATGGGCCCTGGGGTCTCGCACCCGAGCCTCCTGTGAGACTGTATCAAGCTTTTTTATTTAATAATAATTTGGGGAATTTTATCTAGCTTGGATCACAATGGGTAGGAGCCTAGAGTGTGTGGGTCTACGTGAGTATATGGCCTCTGTGTGTTTCTATGCGAGCCTCTGTATAAGTCTATGGGCATAACTGTTAGCCCCTGGGTCCGTCAGTATGTGGGTCCTCTGCAATTCTATGGGTCTGTCAGTCTATTGGTCCTCTGTAATTCTCTGGGTCTCTTTTAGTCTATGGTCCTCTGCAATTCTCTGGGTCTCATGGCAGTCCATGGGTCCTCTAATTGTGGGTCTCAATAGCAGAGTATGGTCTCCAAATGTAAATCATGGAACTTACAGCCCTTTATCAATCTACCGCTGAATGTAAGAGACATTACCCATGTAGTGTTGGTCACGGGGTGTTTGACCAATGGTTCACCATGGCTGATCCGTGCAGGATATATTGGCTTATTACAGCAGACTCCTATTATTGAAGGATATTTCCTCGCCTGTTTAAAAGTACCACCATGGCGCAGTGTTATTGCGGCCACAGCCCTTGATACCACCACCACCGCACCTCACCGCGACCAACGCGTTCTACCCCCTCCACCAGATAGCGCAGCTTCTACACAGTTGACATAGCGCCCTCGAATATCTCCCCTGACACCATGCCACCACCTGCTCTAAGACTTCCCCCTTGGTGGCTGGGACTCATGGAGACCATTATCTCGGTAACTGGCCCTCATGCGGGCTCCATACATGCCCGACCTAGCGGAACCTTTTCTGCCCAAGCATATCTACAACACTCCTACTTGTGCTGGTGTCAAACAACCCAGAACAGCCTGGGTGTGCCTATCAATGCAACCATCTTCCTTTAACATAACACAGTTACGTCATGACACGCAACACATGACGGCGAAGCGCAAGTACATATCCAATCCTTCTCTGCCCCCCCCCCTTCACGGTTCTATGAATAATTATTAGCCCATCGGCGAGCACTTACAAGTCTCTTTCTTGATGGCGGGGGCGCTCGTCCTCCGGGGCTCCGCATGGGCCTTGCCGACTCCGTCCGCTCGCGTCCTTGACAGCGACCTCTTAGCCCGGGGCCTTGAGGGGCCACCGGCAGAGGACTTGGCGGGGCGATGCTGGGACATGGCCCCCTGTGGTCCTGCATCATCACGCAGCAGGGAGGAACAATGTTATAGTTAGACACCAAGAAAAAAAAACGGCTCTAACACCACTATTTAGGTTTTCGCCATCGTGCTGTAACATTACACTCCGGTGTTTTCAGGATGTACCGCGAGTTGTTTGGAACTATTTCTGGCTTAACGCACATAGAATAGGCCGCATGTTGGGCTAGGAGTATAACTACAAACGAGAGCTAAAGTTTCCCTTGAACGCTCCCTGGTTAGGGGTTTTTGTGGAGCTGTTAATTGGCTATGGTGGTGTTATAAATGGAGGACGGTGAAACTGGAAGTCCGTGTGTGTTTGTGTCACCGTGCATGAGTGTTCCGCGCTGCGTGCCGGAAGCATCTGCCAGCAAGTGGAGCGAAGCATCAAACGTGCTCAGAGAAAGTAAATTAATGTATTGACTTTTAGGAGTACTGCAGCAGCGCTCTTATGACAGCACGGGAGTGACTGTCATATTAAATTAATATCCACTAAAGCGATGTTACTTCAGCGAGACGCCAAAGTCACTTTAAATGGGTTGGTAAGGAGGATAACGGAGCTCTGGTTCATCTTATTCAGCATCTGGCCATGTTAGATGTTACACCCACATGGCCAAAAGTTGTTTATACATTACTACCAAATCAACAGACCCTAATCTCACCTAGATGTCCGCCCGGTTAAGATGTACCTTCCTGGGCTTAGTTGCTAGGCCGCAGCGGGTACAAGGAGAGAAGGTGCAGGCAGGAGAGCGTGGCAATAGAGGAGATGGAGCGAGATGTTTGGCCTACACTAGCTGCCTTGTGTGTTTGCCGGTGATATGATGAAGATGATTAGGAGCGTGCTTTGTGATTTTGGCCTAGACGGGAATTTCTGAAGGGAAAAGGTCAGCAATGAAAGCCAGGATGCCCTGGTCAGAGTGCTCTCAGGAGTAAGCATGAAGGTTGGTGACCAGAGTGACGGGGCGCTCCGGTAACGGTTAACGCAGTACTCACGTGAGGGCTCTGTGAGCAGGAAGTCCTGGAGCAGAGCAGCGCAGCGATCCAAGCCACGGTGAATCACAGCCACCTGCCGGAGGAGACGCACAATTACAGTACAAGTTTCATTATTAAACATTTACCACATTCAATTGAGGGCGACCCAAGTAAAGGAAAAGGTTAAGCTGGTGTCATTAACAGAAAGAGGTGGAAAACTCTCATTGGGCCCTGTCGTCCATAAAGAGAAGACGGGAGGGAACAAAACACAACATTTTGCAAATTTATCAAGCATCGAGACTTGGACCACCGTTCTGAACTCCCCCGCATTACGGCTCAACTTTGGAGTTCTCCTTCCCATATTTTTTTGCCAACCTCTCATAATAAGAGTAACCTTGCTCAATTCAGGAAACCTGTTACACTTATCTGCTACAACTTTTAAAGTGATGTTTTATTGCTCGGCAACAAAAAAGACAACACAGATAGGCATAAGGGCGGCAGTGGCCACAAGGCAAGAAAATTGTGTAATTTTCATAAATGGCAAGCAGTGGATTCTCACACGCACGATTCAACAATCAATTGGAACTCTTTTTAACTCAGCGGGACCACATGTAACGCACTCTCTCGTCGTCAAAGAACGGAGCGTGTCTGAGAGGGACGTCCACTTAGGAGATTGAGTGATGAGCGTTGAATTGTTGCATTGTAGGATCGTGAAGGATGGTGGTGGCTTGGGGGCCTTCATCCAGCAGGGGATTGATGGTGGCAGGTGATGATGATGAGCACTCATGAGGGCCATTGGGACAGCCAATAAAAATAGGTGGACCAATTAAATTGAAAGATCCATTTGGGCAAATTAGGGTTCATCCACGAGTCACAGCACGCCCAGCGCTTGGGGTCGGTTGGACAACGATTATAAATCTATCGCACCTGGTCCTCGGACTCGGTGGAGTAGAGCGAGTATCCCGAGTCTGGCGACACGGCCCTCCTGCCCAGGCTGCTCGACCTGCACACACAAGGTCAGGGGATCTCAATAACAATCTCAACTTGTAGTAAAGCGCCGCCACTGCCACACATCAGAATATTTATCTATACTGGAGGAATCCGATGAGCTATAAAACATTTTTTCACAGATGACAGTGGGCACTTGCTCCAGAGCCGCGAGGAGGAACCACTAACGAGCAGGAAGGTACCAGCCACACGGTGAGGAGCTATTACCAAATGTTGGCATTGCTCTGCACTCCTATTTTATGTTAAGGTGTTTTCAGCCTATTAATGAGTCTCTATATGTGTGGGAAGAAGCCGAAACGCCCGAAAAGATGGACATTAGTCGACATTTTGCTGTACCACCACCATGTGAACAAGGGTGTGGCAACTTGACACCCACAGGAATAATCATAATTCAGACTTATACATGTACAGCACCCTTCAAGAGTGGAGTATTCGCTCCCTCTCATGGGCTCTATATGTGAGGAGGAACCGCAGACAAGCGGGCAGGAACAACCACGCGATGATCCAGCGTCAACAACTGGTCAAGCTCTCCGGTTCTTTCTATATAAAGATGCTATGGTCCACTTTAATGTTAATACACGTTGGAGGAAACCGGCGAACCCAGAGACAACCCAATTGTGCAAGGGGACAACACTCGATCCCATGTAGAGGAAACGGGTGGAGTCCACGTTTTTGCTGTACCGCATTCTCCTGGCAAGCCAAGCTATGGCTCCTCCTTGACGCCCACCCACGGGAAAGGAGCTTCACATCATCTGTGGTCCACCAACCTTCGCTGCTGCATGTGATCCAGTGCTGGATTACAGGCACCAGCCTTGTAGGACAGTCTCTGAGCTGCAGTCAACCAATGATTATGCCGATTAGATGTACTATCTGATATGGCTGATATTCACAATTGCACCCAATAAAAAACCCACGTCTACAGCTACCACCACCCCGACTTAACGCGTAGCAGGTTTTCACAGCTAAAATTTACGATTAATAATTTTTTTTGGGGGGTTAGGCCACTAAGTGATGTGGCCAAATCTGTGTAGTGGCCGAGTGACGGGTCTGCATGGCTGAGCCGCTTATCCACCTCCGCTTGCCGCCCTTGTGCTTGGGGGGTCCGCTGAGCCTGCCAGACGACACCATCTACACATGGGACGACGACAAAATATCGCATCAACAGATTGTTTGTATCGTCAACAAGTAGCGTCTAATGAAGGCCGGCAAAGGCACACGATGGGGTGGGTGGGTGGCCAGCACCACGCCCGGCCACCTTTTAACTCCACATTGGCAATGATTACACATTTCACCAGGCACCCATTCATCGCTGCTGCTGTATTTGCTACTGCTTATCACTATGCTGATTACACTACTGCTAATGTTGATGATACTACCACTACTGCTAATGGTATTACCGCTGATACTACTAACGTTGCTGCTGTTACCTCTGCAAATGCTGATGCTCCTGATGATACGACTGTTTATGATGCCGATACTACTGTTAATGCTGCTTCTTTACGACATTTCTAATGCACCTGCTGATGGTACTAATGCTGCTGATGATGCTAATGCTGCCTTTGACGATGATAATGATAAAAACCGGTGCTAGTGCTGCTAATGATAATGATGGTGGTGCAAACTCCTCTCACCTGGCCAAGTGGCCTGTGTCCCCCTGCGGCCCTCGGCATCGCGGGGCGAGATGAGGCCCGGGCAGACGAGAAAGGGGGCACGGGGGGCCACACGGGAGAGGAGGCAGAGACAGACGAGAAGGGGGGCACGGGGGGCCACACGGGAGAGGAGGCAGAGACAGACGAGAAGGGGGGCACGGGGGGCCACACGGGAGAGGAGGCAGAGACAGACGAGAAGGGGGTAGACAGAGCGAGAGAGAGCAGAGGGGAGAGGACAAGGCGTGTAGGGAATCTGAGGGTGTACAGATGACTATGGAGCAGGGTTGTATATAGACAGGACGTATTTGATAGTATTGTACAGAGTAGGGAGGGTGTACACTAGGGGTGTATTGACTAGTGGCGAGTATAGAAGCAGTTGTGTATAGAGTGATGTATAGTTGTGTGCATAGAGTATGAGTGGTGTGTATAGTTGTGTATGTGTATAGTTGTGTATGTGTATAGAGTATGAGTTGTGTGTATAGAGTATGAGTGGTGTGTATAGTTGTGTATGTGTATAGAGTATGAGTTGTGTGTATAGAGTATGAGTGGTGTGTATAGTTGCGTTAAAAAAAGTATAAACGAGTTGTATGGCGTATACTAGGAGTGCAACTTTGGTATAATAATAGACAGCAGCGTAGAGTCTGTTACGGGTTGGAGGGAGCAGGATCGGTGGTGTAGCTGCTGCTGCAGCTGCAGCAGTAGCAGCTACAGTGGCGCACGGAGCCGGACACTTTCTCCCTGCGTCTCTCTTCCTCTAACCCCCCTCCTCCTTCTCAGTCGATCGGCATCTGTCACTCGCCGCCAAGAAGACACGATCCCCATTAACGCGCCTCGCTCCGTCTCCTCCTCAGGAGCTTCAACTCGTCGACGCGGCCGCAGCGACAGCTCCACTCGAATGAACCGCCAGCTGAGCCGCACCACCGCCTACTAACAAAAACCCTACACCCCCCCATACTTATAACCTCCCATCATGACGTCACCGAAAAGTAGTTCGTCTCTGATTGTGGAGTTTTTTTTCGTGTAAAGGAACGCGCGGTTAAGTTTTTTTGTTTTTATTGAACGCGGTTTTGTTTTTGTATTTTCGAATGAGCGGCGTTTGTGTCCTACCGGGGTGGAAAGTGGTGGCAGGAGGGGGAGGAAGGAGGGGGGCGGCCGTGTTGTTTGCAGGCGCATTGATATTAATCTGCTAGGTCACGTGATTTGGGGGGGGGGCGTCTCCCGCCAAAAGCGAGCGCGGCTCGCGCCAGGGGGTGGGGTGGAGGGGAGGGGTCGCGTGGTGACGTCATCTCCCGCCAATCCCCGCCCCCCCGCGCGCGCCTCGTGGCGTCCGTTGCCGTGGCAACCCCTTGGCAAGTGCCATGTGGGTTTCACAGCTGATGATGGTTACTTGTGTTGCAATTGAAACGTCGTGAGAATTTTGTTTTATTTTTATTATTTTATTATTGTATTATTTTCCATCTACGTGACTTTACTGAAAGAACCAAGAATATGAATCCCTGCAGTCACGAAAGCTTTAAATCGAAATTTAGTGCCCTACCTGGTTAGAGACAACTTCAAACCTCATTGGTCAACCACGTGCCCCTTTTAGACCCCAACGTTTATCCTACAAAGTCCCATCACAAAAGGGTGAAAAGCAAACAAATAGACAAAAAACATTTGTTTTTTGCCCGCATTGAAATGGCTGTTACGCCGTATGGACCTGAAAACTCAATGTCCCTGTACAAGAATAAGGGGTAAACGGTATGGGTTGACAGGGATGCACTCCACTACTCTACCTGTCAACCCCTGATCAGTGCCTAACTTATTAAAGAACAAAGACAAAGCTCCCCCGTGTAGCCTACACAGGCTGTTGGAGGCAAGAGCGTTTACCGAGCACGGTGCACTGGACCACTTCACCATTACATCGTCACCATGGCCGGGAATTGAACTCATGTGGCCGTCTGCTACAGCTGCTGAACACAGACACGAACGCCAGAGCTCTGGGTTACATTGTCCGCTCGTTCGAGGGGGGGTCCCTGACTCTCTGCTCACAATCATCTGGGACATTGGTCACGGTGGTGGGCAGGCACGGGCAAAGCTGCGTGGACGGGGGCCGGAGCCCCCACCATGGGGGTGCGACACGTCCCGAGATCTGGAGGTCGCCAGGGTCAGCAGAAGGTCGAGGAACGCGACTGATGCAGCAGAGAAGGAAGAGACGGAGCTGCATCGGCTCTGAACAGGCGCGACCCCCCCCCCCCCCAGACGAGACTCCCCCCCCCAGATGCGACCCCCCCCCCCAGACGCGACCCCCCCCCCCAGACGCGACCCCCCCCCAGATGCGACCCCCCCCCCAGACGCGACCCCCCCCCAGACGCGACCCCCCCCCCCCAGATGCAACCCCCTCCCCCCCTAGACTCGACCCCCCCCCCCAGACGCGACCCCCCCCCCCTCAACCAGAGGCGACCCCCCACGTGCCGCCAAGAGGCACGGTGAGCAGCCCCCCCCCCTCTCTGCTGCTGCGGGACCCCCCCCCCCCCCCCCAGTGACTGCAACCTGCACATTATTCACATTGACACGGGATGTCATGTTCGTACCGTGATCCATTTCGTTTTAATAATAGGCGCACCTGGGGTGGTCGCGCATGGGGTACCCAAGAAGAAACTATTTGCTGTTGTTGTTGTTGTGATTTAAGCTGTGGCCCTTTCTCCTCCCTCCCCTCGCCCATCCGCTCCTTCGCTATCACTCATTCCTCAACACGTGCACAACCCCCGCCATCTAAATTATTCTTGTCACCGTTTTGTAAACTATGTCAAGCGCAACGAGTGAAGGCGCTCTATATAAAATACGATTAAAGTTAGATGTAGAGAGGGGGGGGTCTATTTAAAAAAATGTGTACATTTGGGGCCTCCTCCACCCGGCACACCACATGCCCTCCCCCTGAACACAACGATGTCTGGACATCACTGCGTGACGGCTGTGTGAAAATACGTTTCAAAGTCGATTTTGGCCAAAAAACAATGGCCCAATGTTTTTGCACCTTACTCTCAACAAAAAGTTAATTGCTGCAATGTTTTTAGTTTAGGGGTGCTACAGATTATAAAAGGAAATTGGGAAATTCCACGTAAAAATTTGGACCCAAAAAGATAAATCTACGGACAAACCTACGTCGTTTTTGGCCAAAAATTGGCCCAATGTTTTGCACATTATTTTTCAATTAAAAGTTAATTGCTGCACTATCTTTACTGTCTTTACTCTTAGGATCCTACATATGAATACAAGTTGTAAAATTGCACGTAATTTTTTTCGCTCGGAAAAAATTCGTGGTGATGAGTGATGTGCAATCCATGCCTTGTAATAAAAACAATCATGACAAGTATTTATATCATAATTATTGATTGGACACAACTGTTTCAACCATTACAATGCACTCCATATTGGGAGGATGAAGAGGTTGGAATCCGTGAAAGCAATAATTTGCTGATCAATGCCTGGGAGCGATTCTTGAGTTTCTCCGTGGTCGTTTTTGTTGTTGTTGTCGTTGCGCAGGACACGCGGATGACTTTGATTCTCGGCAATGGGAATTGGCCACATCGAGTGCACAATAAAATGTGAGTGGATTGTTTGTGATGTGCGGTAATTGGCTGAGAGCATCAACTCCGTCCAGTCGTCCTTGAGCTGCTTTCCCTTACGGCCTTACCTCACCAGTGTTAGACCAGCGAACATCAAAAGGCGAACAGCACGAAGGTAATGCAAATATCAAAGCGTGAATAGCTCGTGTTGAGCAGTTATATGTGTGTTAATTCTGTTTTATCCTAAAGCGTTATCAGTTTCAAAGCAAATGCAGATATTATAATGTATATGCTCTGATAATTATCAGAGCATGTTTGTTTGTAAGTTCATCACAAATACGTGTGGTTAATGCAGACTTGATTCCCTGAAAAGGGTATCTATTTGGTATTTGAACATCTTAACATGTCCTATTGCCAGATAAGGATACACCCTACTCTTATTTTTCATCCTCTGATGCTTTCGGCGTCTTGAGAGCAAGCATCGGAAATCGGTGCGCCCGGTGTCACGTCGTCCAAACGTCCTGCAGGTGGCGCTGTTGCCTTTTACAGGAGAGGGGGCACTTTCCCACAGACGCTCCGAGAGTCGTGAATGGAAAATTAAAGACAAGCCACCTCGGATTAGCACGGCTGGCCACATACGGTGCGAAAAAAGTTCAACTTACACACATGGGAGTGCGATTGTGGCCATGTAACCAAAACTATGGGCCATTCAGTAAGCCACTGCATTCCGCGCTCCTCAAAAGCAAAGCCACACAAGCTCTCGTAGCCAGCAGACCTCAACATTGCCATTTGTCTTATAAACACATTGCCATACACAAGGATAGAATAGAGATTAGGTCACGGTCGCTGACATCAGTAATTATGTAATATTAGCGATGGCGAACTACTCTCTGGGGCCTCGGAGGTCAGAATGTTGAGTCAGCAGCGCTGAAATCCTGGGGTTGAATCCAAGCAGTCCCCTCCAGCCACGACGAAAGGGCTTCAGGAGAAAGTTCGTGTTGTTTTTCTATTCCTTCGTTCAAGGAGCACAGACTATAGTGGATTACAATATTGTCCGTACTTTGGAGCTCCCTGTGATTACAGTGCAGTGAGTTGATGGTCCGAGCCGGGATGGTAATAATTTCACAAAAAAGGATCACAGGAAATGTGGTTTTACATTCATTTGCCTAAATAAAAATTTCTGACGATTCAAAGTACCCCCTTGCCATGCCACAAAGTCTTCGTGGGGCGCATGAGAGATTTAAGTTGTCATTGTGGTGTATTTTGCTGTGGAATGAAACACGGATCTGGTTTGGTCAAAATATTTAATTAATATTTGTTCGCACACATTAACAAAAATCAGAAATACGGCATTACAATGGGAAATTAAAGAACATGTCAACAAGGGTACTATTGTGTATGTGTATTTGGTGAACAATGCTGACAGCTGTAAGATCTAGACTCCAGGGCATGGCACTTTGACGTGGACGCTGCGGACATGTGCACACAAACTCTCCTCTGCCTCGGGTACATTTCAAACCCTGTGTGGGACAATGAAGTTCTGCTGGAACTAATTGTGTTATTGTGTGTGTAAGAGCTTAGGATGTGTACACGTGTGCAGTGTTCGTGTTGAATGCGTATGCGTGTGTAATTCTGGTTGGAGATATGTACCCGAAGCCTCCTGTGGGTTCTGCCATTTGGGTGATGCCATGAAATCCTCTCTGCACAATGTAGGAGTGTTTCTAGTTTGTATCCCTTCATGCAAAGCTGTACATGGTGTGTGCCATAACACCACAAGTACCAGCAATGTTATCATCACAATCACCTCGTCTGGCTGCATAGTGGGATGTGGGTGTTTCCGCGTGCACGCATGTAAACGTGTTGGCATACGATTAAGAATGTCACATGCACAGTGTGCGTGTGTTACATGCACAGTGTGTGTGTGTGTCACATGCAGTGCGAGTGTGTCACATGCATAGTGTGTGTGTATCACATGCACAGTGTGCGTGTGTTACATGCACAGTGTGTGTGTATCACATGCAGTGCGAGTGTGTCACATGCACAGTGTGCGTGTGTCACATGCACAGTGTGCGTGTGTCACATGCGCAGTGTGTATGTGCGCGTAGGGGTGAGGCCCTAATTACTGAGCTGGCACAGGAGCGCTACTCCGCGGCTGATCCAGTGGGACTCCGGCAGGTCACTGGACAAGGCCATTGCAATGACAAAGTTTGTGGAGTGCCCGGTGGTGGACAGGGTGCCTCTCCGCTCGCTCGTTTTATAAACTGGAGCCAGGTAAGACGGCTTATCGGGAATGTCCACCTTTTTGCAAGGTCTCAGCCACATCTGTGGAAAAGAAAAACAGGCAAGCCAAATGAATAATGCATGTTAAATTGCTCAAATACT